TAGCGAAATTATTACACGTATTTACAGCGGAAATCGTACATACTGTGCTAATAAAAGATTGATGACGTCGAAATTATTAGATAAAAAAACCAAAATGTCTATTTACAGAACTTTGATTAGACCCGTAGTAACCTATGGTTGTGAAACCTGAGTAATGACGAAAAAAGTGGAAGTCTTGTCGTATTTGTAAATAGTGCATCAAATTTTGAACATAAGTTACGTTTCATTTATATCTATAGAAAATGTCACACTGAGAGTGCAGTACGGGTAAGATACGGCAATGCTTTTCTTATGGAGAATAAACGCGCAGGGTTGTCGGTTTTCTTCAGCTGTTGATTGCTCACAGTCTCACAGGACCGGCTTGGATAAAATGCATCTGCCGGCAGTACGAGTAAAATATTTTATATCATGTATACGTATACAGTAGAATAAAAGGCATTGATGAGTTATTGACAACGAAAACTATGAATTTTGCATATAAAACGTCAACATGAGATATACAAGTGAATCATATTCATAATAGTAACATTTGAACACCTCTTTACAAGAACAACATACAATAACTGTAGTTTTATTATTTTACATAAAATAGAAAAAGCCTACATAATTTCTAGGAAAGAATTTAGAAACTTGGAAATGATATTATTTATAGATATTATATATAATATTCAAATTTCCAATTCTTTCATAAAAATTAGATTTTTTCTATTGTATGTAAAATATTAAAAATACAGTTATGTTGTTTCTATAAATAGGTCTTCATTTTTTTTGTAAAACTTCTGCTACAAATTACCATCATTAACATAATCACCTAAATATGGCCATAAACTTGTTTGTCATAATTAGTATTTGATAAACTCCAAGCTTTTCCTATTTCACCCCCTACCCATCCTTCCTACCCATCCTAAGGATGGGTAGGGGGTGAAAGTGTTTTTGGAAAACGAAACTACACTTCAAAATTTAGTCCGAGTTTCAACAGAGAGCATGGAGTCCCATAAGTTTAACTCCGGTGAATTATTTAACGGTTGCGCTAAACTCGTAGTGTGTTGTGTTTTTTTACAAAATACGGAACAACTTAATGTAATTGCTGCTGTAAGACGTACTTCGTTGATGACTGGTGTTAGCGAAAGAAGCATTTACAATTTCAAAAAAGAAAAAGAACAGAGTGGAACGTTGAAAACGCCAACACAACGTAAAAAACGAGCGTGTCAATCAAATTCTAGAATATTTACATATGACGAGGGTGTAAGAAGTATTCTACGGAGAATTGTTCATTGTGAATTTTTCATGAAAAATTTGCCGTCATTCATGCAGGTTTTTCTAGAGGTTTCCTTCCTGGCACACAGCGTGTTTTTCTGGCAAAGAAAAATGATGGCGACTATCACGATGAAATTAGTGCCGCATATTTTAAGTCGTGGTTCAAGGAGACATTAATATCAAATACACCAAATAATGGTCGCAGGAATGTCATTGTAATGGACAATGCATCGTACCACTCCCGTAAAGAGATATTCCCTAACAATTCCTGGAATAAAGCTGCAATCAAGGAATGGCTAGTGGAAAAAGACATTTTTTTCGAGGAGTGTTATTTGAAATCCGAGCTATTAGAAGCAGCGGGTGCTTTTAAAGATCAATACGATAAGTATCATCTTGATGAGTATGCTTCACAACATAATGTTTATATTTTAAGGCTTCCTCCATATCACTGCGAATTATATCCTATAGAAATGGTGTGGAACCAAGTTAAGCGATATGTAGGTACTCATAATACCACTTTTAAAAACGACGAGATACGCCAGTTGATCGACGACGGTTTCGCACGCGTCACAGAGCAAAATTGGCGCAATTATGTCACTCATGTTGTTGAGAAAACGGAAACTGAGATGTGGACTGCGGACAACCTGCAAGATGACGTAGACCAATTGATAATACACGCGCACACAGGGGAGAGTAGCGAAAGCGAATCCGACATCTCGGATTTAGAGGACGACTTTACTATAATTAATTGAATATCTGTAAGTAACCTCGATTATTTTACACTGTATAACCAATAAAATGCATTTACCAGTCCAATTAGAGTATGGGCTTTTCGGATATTGGGCTGGGTGCACGGAAATCGAGTTCCTGGAGGTTCCACCTTGTATATTTATAGCTATCAAGAAATGTAATTTAAAATATATTTGTTAGCTTAATAAAGTATAAACATAATATAATGTTAAATAACTTACACTATAAACCTTATACCTGCTCGTATGGTCAAGTGTGGACAAGGAAAACCATTATCCCATATGGAATAATACAAGGTTTCGCTGAAAACTACCAGGTTGCTATGCCAAGGACCTAGGTAAACCTATGTTGTGTGTAAAAAATGCGAGACTGCATTATGTGTTAACAAGGACAAAAACTGCACTTCAGATTTCCACAAAAAAAAAATTCATAGTAGGTGTTAAAATTTCGCAGTGATTCAAGTGCGCAACTTGTTTTTTTAATAACATCGCCGGGATTAAAAAATGTGCAAAGCTTTTTCGATATTCCCGTTCCTGATAATTTTTCACATATTTATAAAAGAAAAAGTTTTTCTTGGATATTGGGCTGGGTGCACGGAAATCAAGTTACAGGAGGTTCCACCCGGAATATTTATAGCTATCAAGAAATGTAATTTAACATACATTTGTTAGTTTAATAAAGTATACAGTTTTATAATAAAATTCTAGCTAAAAACTTAAGGTCTTTTTATTCAAATTCATGCCTCTTATTTGGCTACTTGAAGGCAATTATTTTATCAATATATTATTTTATAATAAATAACAGAGCCCGGCGTAGAGATCTGGGTACGGTTCTACCACTACCACTTCTGGGTGACTACCACTTGGACCTGTTTGTATCGCCAAGCACAAGGCGTGAAATCCGGCAATTGTGCATTCCTATATTACCCGTACTGCACTCTCGGTGTGACATTTTCTATAGCCAAGATCAACTGAGTGAAGATGAACTTTTATGTTTACTTGAAAGTAATGATCCAGAGCTTGATATTATGATGATATAAATATAATGTAAGGGGTAAAAGAAGAAAATGACCGTATTACTTATCAAACCATAGAGCAAAATGAACAAACAGTTACTGACTCCGAAGGCTTACCGGTATATGTATCTAAAGATGGAACTGAGTGGTCAAGGTTGCCAAAAAACACACATCTGGAACGGGCAAAGGCGAATATTCGTAGACATGCTCTAGGACTTACAAATAACAGTGATAATATATCAAGTATGAAAACCCTTTCCTTCCAAAGAGGCTATCGATATACTTTAGTGTGATGGTATTGCTTACTGCCGTCCTATAATACCAGCTGCTATGTCTAGAGATAGGTTCAAACAAATAACTTCATTTATACGTTTTGACAATTTTTAAACCAGACAAGAACGAAAACCAGTAAATAAACTGGCCCCAATAAGAGATGTATGTGATATTTTTATTTCTAATTGTAAGAAATAACTTAATCCAGGCAACCATCTGTGTGTAGATGAGCAGCTCGTGTCTTTTAGAGGTAAAGCACTATTTCGAGTTTATTAAAAGAGCAAACCTGACAAGTACGGATTAAAGATATGGACCCTTGTGGGCTGCACTACTTTTTTTATTTTAACCATGCAAATTTATTTATAAAACAATGTCCTAAGGCGGAAAAAGCTCAAGGTCAAAGAGTTGTCCTAGACGTGATAAACCATTTGGAAGGAGGGTTTGAAATAACAACTGACAATTTTTTTACGAGTTTACAACTTGCGGATAATTTATGGGAGAAGAATGTGAAACTCTTCGGAAAAAATAAAACGTTTATTCCAAGGGAGTTTCTAACAGCATCATATAAAACAGATTATTTAAGTATGTCTGCTTTAAGAAAACATTCGAACGTTAGTCACTTATGTTCCACAACTGCAGTCTGCAGAACTGCAGTCATCTTAGTTTCAAGTGAGCATGTTGACGACCAAGTGGCTGGTAAAGAACACTCCTATAAACCTGAAATTATTCTACATTACAACACAACGAAAGGAGTCGTCCATACACCGATAAGTTAGCTAAAGAATATACGATACAAAGAAAAACAAACCGTTGGCGTATGGCTATATTCTCTGATCTTATTGATGTCGCAGGTATTAATTCCTATAAATTGTGGCTACTAAAATATCCTGATTGAAAAAAGCACAATATGAGGCACTGGGCAAGGAATATGTTTTCAAACATTATAACAATAAGAATAAAAAAAAACTAATAAGAAAAAAATAAAAAGCGTCTTATGGCAGATGTATTCACAGAACTTTTGAATATTACTAAGCCCAGAGTAGAACAAATAAAACATACAAGGGGGCGTTGTTATGTGTGTTGTAGAGGCAAAGACACAAAAACTAGTAAAATATGTGTAAAATGTAACAATTTTGTATGTCTAGAACACGCAAAATCAGGGAGGTTGTGTACATTGTAAAATAGTATGTAGTTGTTATAGTACATTTTTTTTTTCGTATAAGCATAGTTCACCCATTTAAAGGACGATTCAGACACATCAGTCCCGTCACAGTCCCGACGCCGAACCGGTCCTGTTTGGTCACAGAACTATCAACTATCTGACAGCTGGCAAACTGTTCGTCGCCTGATGAATGTGAATGCCGGCGCCATATTTCTATTAAAGAATATTTTGTATGACGGATTGTAAGGTTCGGCGCCAGGACTGTGACGAGACGTGACTGATTTTTCTGGATCGACCTTAAGAATGGGTCCATTCAGATCCCGGCCTGTCTTTTGTGTAATATTTTGAGGCCTGTCCAATAAGGGTTCAGATAAGACGTACATACACTTGAGAGTCTAGAGCTAGTCGAAGTCTAAAACAATTGGCTCCCAACGTTAGTTGAAGTAATATTGTTACAGCATCATAACTGGAACCGAAAACGTTTGAATCCAATTTAGTATGAACAGTATTACTCCTTAGAAAATAAAGAAACATTTGACTTACCTAATCATTTTTTTGTTAAGGGGAATGGAAGGATGTTCTGTTTTAATAAAACACAGAACATATGCATTGTCAACTTTACTCCAATGGCGTAAATTTACAAAATCTCTACTGGAAACTAGACCATTGAGGGATTCTTTCGAAATAGTATACGTTATATCGGTGTATTCGTCTAACGATTGCACTTTGTAGGAATCCTGAATTGCCATGTTCCATTTTGGCGCTTCGTGAATCCTGTAAAAAAGTTCATCAAGCAGGTAACGTGACGATACTTCCATTTCGGCCTAAAATATAAACGGAAAGTGTTAGAAATCCGAGCTCCTACAGATAATTATTAATAAAGAATACATTTTGGCACTAAAAGAATTTCGAAGGTTTTGTAAACATTCAATATTTATTCCCCTCTCCGTGTGGTCACCGAAGAAAGGCGAAAGGTCAATTTTTTTATTATTTTTTGTTCAGAGCAGCAATATGTAGGTTTTTAGTAGTAATTTTATGTGAGTCATTCAAACATGGGAAAAAGACGAATCCCCATAGCTTAAAATACGTTATAAAATTCTGCGTACAGGGAAGAAAGGCGAATGGTCCTCGCGTAAATCCGAGAAAGGTGGAATGTCAGTGCTTGTCGGGACGTCGGAGGAGTACACACCGCATTTTGTTTAATAAAAATGTTTAGTTTTCGAGTAGCTTTCATTAAATAAAGTGCGTGTTATTGTGCTCGAAAACGACGGATAGTGAAAATATGATGATACGGGTCGCGAAATAAACACTATCTATCTACTTAGCCTTCTTCGGTCCATCTTTGGACATAGGCCTCCCCAATCCTTTTCCATTCTTCTCTGTCTGTCGCTACAGTCATCCATCTAGAGCCCACGTGCTTCTTGATATCATCTGCCCATCTCATTTGGGGCCTTCCTCTGCTTCGTTTATATTCCCACGGTCTCCAACTTATAAGAATTTTGTTCCATCGGTCTTCTTTTTGTCTTATATTGTGTCCGGCAAATCTCCATTTCAATTTTGCAACTTCTTGTCTAACATCCCTCACTTTTGTTTTCTCTCTTATCCACTCGTTTCTCTTCTTATCAATTAGTCTTATGTGCAACATTTGTCTTTCCATTGCTCTTTGGGTTTTTATAATTTTGTCCATGTTTGCTTTTGTAAATGTCCACGTTTGGGAGCCATACGTAAGAACAGGGAGTACGCATTGATTATATACTTTGGTCTTAAGATGCTGTGGATATCTTTTGTTTTTAAGAATGTAGCTTAGTTTGCCAAATGCCGCCCATGCCAGTCTAACTCGTCTCTTGATCTCTGCTGTTTGGTTCTCTTTGTTAAGTTTTATAGTTTGACCAAGATATATATAATCCTTAACTTGTTCTATTTCATGTTGTCCGATTCTCATTGTGATGTCTTCATCTGTATTTGTTATAGTTTTGGTCTTGCTGTAATTCATATTAAGGCCTATCTTTCCAGCTTCTACGTCCAGTTCTTTCATCATTTCAAATAATTCTTCTTTTTTATCGGTTATCAATACGATGTCATCAGCGTACCTTAGATGGTTCAAGCGTTGTCCACAAATTTTTATACCTTTTTTTCCGATTCTAATCTTTTAAAAGTATCTTCAAGAGCCTGATTGAAAAGTTTCGGTGATATTGTATCACCCTGTCTCACGCCTCTACTTATTTGTAATGATTTTGTTCCTTCATATACTTTAATTGTTGTTTTGGCTTCCTTATATATATATTGGTTATTAGTTCCGTATATCTGTGGTCAATTCGGCTGTTAATCAAAGAACTTTTCACTGCCCAATGTTCGACACTGTCGAAAGCCTTTTCGAAATATATGAACGCCATATATAGAGGAATGTGGTATTCATTTGCTCGTTCTATAAGTATTTTCATACTTAGTAAATGGTCACTTGTGCTGAATCCCTTTCTAAAACCAGCTTGTTCTTTCGACTGGTATCCATCGAATTTTGTCGTCAATCTATTGGTTAAAATTTTTGTTAGGAGTTTATACATTACATTGAGGAGTGTTATAGGACGGTAGTTTTTTATATCTGCTTTATCCCCTTTCTTGTGTACGATAATGGTTACTGATTCCTTCCAGTTGTTTGGGATTCTTTTTTTCTTTTAATATCCTGTTAAAAAGGGAATGTAGAGTATTAATTACCACTTTTCCACCATATTTCAGCATATCTGTAGTTACTCCATCTTTTCCAGGCCATTTGTTGTTTTTCATTTCTTTCAATGCCTTCTTTATTTCTGATTTGCTTATTTCGGGCTGCAGCTCTGATTTGACATTTTTTATTTTGACCTTAAGTTGGTTTTTAATTTCTTCTGGTGGTTCCTTTTTTGTTTTATATAATTCTGAGTAGAAATGGTGGATTATATTTATGATGTCATCTTTAACGTTTTGTATTACTTCTTCTATTTTTATTTCTTGTTCTTTTCTCTTATTTTCTTTTATCATTCTGCTTATTGTTTTATTAATTTCTACATATTCTATAGATTTCCTTTTGCCTTCTTCGTTCAGCTTCCTTCTTTTATCCATAAGCTTCTTTGTTTCTGTTGATATATAGTTGTTCTTTTTTAGATCCTTCTTTGCTATTTCTTTTCCTGATGTAATCATTGTTGCTGTAAGTATGTTGTCTATTTCGTCTATATCTTTATCGTCACTGTCTAATCTTTGGGTAAGTTGTTCTTTTAATAGGTCTTTGTATATCTCTTTATATTGACCTAGTTTGTTTCTATCTACTAGATTCCAGTTTCTACTTATTTTTCTTTTCATCTCATAGTTACCGTCAATACTAATTTTTGCTCTGACCATCGTGTGATCGCTACCTGTTGTGAATCTGTTAAGAACTGTTACATCTTTAATGATATATCGTTCCGTGGACAGTATGTAGTCGATCTCATTTTTTGTGGATCCATTAGGGCTGATCCATGTCCACTTTCGTTGGGGCTTCTTTTTGTAAAAGGAGTTCATTGCGTATAGAAGCTTTTCTTCTAGGTAGTTCATCAAAGTATCACCTCTATCATTTCTCTGGCCATACCCGAAATCTCCTGTTTTAGTTTCTTCTTTGTTTAGTTTTTTACCCAGTTTGGCATTGAAATCTCCAATTAGGCATTGAAATAAACACTAGAAATAAGAAAATTGCAGATTGAATACATGAAGTAATGAAGCGGTTAAGACAACAGAGCCATGAAACAGGTGACGATTGTCAATGTAAGAGATTGAAGTGAAGCCCGAGATGAATCTACATCAAGATTGCATGATGCAATGTATTCTTTTAAAGTTACAATAACGACTGACGGTAAAACTACTGACGTCCCAGTTTGTTTTAAAGCTTTTCTAAGCCTTCATGGAATTGGTTGGAGGAGGCTTGGAAATATTCAAAAAAGTTTAAAAGCTACTGGTAGTGCACCAATTGACAAACGCAAAAAAAATCCAAAAAAAAAACACGCATTACCAAAACAACAGCTAGATGAAGTTATTGAACACATAAAGCGTTTTAAAGAAAGAGAAAGCCATTATAGTACAAATAAAACTAAGATAATGTACCATCCGGATGACTTAAATATTAGGAAAATGTACACTATGTACAAATCCGATAAGGGCGCTCCTGTGTTTTACGAAACATATCGAAAAATCTTTAATAAGCATTTTAACATTAGTTTCGGCTATCCGCGGAGTGATACGTGTAGTGCTTGCGATTATTTCATAGCTGACCTTAAGGTCTTTCACAAGAAACTTAATGAAACGAATAATGCATCTGAAAAACAAAAGATAGAAGTTGTGATAAAACGAATAACTTTGACAAATAGCCTACACAAATCCAAAGTGGAAGCATTTTATGAAAGAAAGAGAAACGCAAGGAAAGCAGCAATGCAGCAATGCAGATGTTAACTGAGAAGCAGTCACTAATATTCCACTCCAAATATTCCGACCAACGACTCTAATATAAGAGACAACTGACCCTTCACTCCCTTAACATTCATGTATTGTCAACAGGAAATGCTACATTTTAATGTTTTCCAGAAACCATAGGAGGCAAAGGTTCAAACGAAATAGTTATTTCTACACCATTTTATCTTGGTTCAGCTCGATCTGCCAGTTCGTCACCTCCACATATTCTGTGATTCATGTGGCAGCTAAAACAAAAACTTCACTGTTTTCCGTTATCTTCACTATGTTGTTAATACCATGATACTATGACTATAAGATAAGATATTGCGCATGTTTTTGTGACGTCATTGGAGACTTGCATGTTCGAAATGTCAGTTGTTGTATATATCAATATATAATCTTTAATAAATAGCTTGGAGATATCCTTATGTGTACGATTATTGTAATTATTAAACCTCTTAACTTATTTTCGTCTAGTAATTTCATCACAAAATGCATACAAATCTCATGTAACTTTAACAAGAATTCAAATTCTAGTCTCCAATGACGGCATGCGCGAACCCGACCGATTTTGAGCTACGGGAAGATCCTATCTTGTTATTCATAGTATCATGGTTAATACTGCAAAAAGGTTGGACTCAAAGTAACTTTCTCAATACGAGGTCATTCTTACATGGAGTGTGATCGAGATTTGGGTGTGATAAACTACAAAAATATGGCTGAACTTCCTGAGGATTGGTACACGAAAATTAGATCATGTCAAGTAAAACTAAATCCGTTAGGTGTCGTTAGACACCGGTTACTATTTTTGGACCAAATTTACGTAACTAAACCAACATATATATCAAGACCAATCAGAGAACTCGAAATATTGAAAGATCATTCACGCTTTTTCAAACACCGAGATTCCTATAATGTACAATGGGAGACGTCAATTATACGCAAACCATTTACAAATTGCGATGAGATGTAACTACCCGACACGTAGTTTATTTTGCCACCAAAATTATATACAGTTGAGTTTGTTTTAAAAATTTCCTTCCTTTTCTCTTTTTTCATATAGATGTTTTAGAGCTAAGGAAAATTTCTAAGGAAAAATTTAACGATCTAGTCCACTTGAGTCAGTTTTGCACATCTGAAAGGGCTAGATCGTTCGACCTTACAAGAAAAACAACAAATACGCAAACAAAATGAGGAGAAAATAATAAAAGCTAGACAAATGAAGAACAGAAAAAAATTGTTGTTATACATTTCGATTTTTTCACCTAAACTCACCTAAAACTCGGGTTTAAGAATGAATATTTTTGTTGAACGAAATTGGATATGTTGTCATATTTAGGTATTTTGATGTTAGGAATTTCAGTGACCAGCTTAATTATATTGTTAGTTAAGCCATTTACGTACAAAAACTTACCCTACGTTAATGAGTACGTAGTTTGTACGTTCATAGAATATGTGTCTCTCCGATATAATTTGTTTCATAAAATAAAATACAGCATTTTTTAAGTTAGAACAGTGTGGTCCAACCTTTTAGAAATATCGACTTTCCCACTTTCCTTGGAACGTGCGATTCTCTTCGAAAATTTTGCGTTTTTTGGCACTACTCATTCTAAATTTAACATTCAATTTATTCGCCACTGTTAATTCAACACGACATGTGCAGCTGACTGAAGCTAACTGCCCGCTCCTCGGGAGTGGGTGTGCAAGGTTAACTACTTTCTTAAGATTACGGAAAGTTAGATAGGGTTGGAACAGGTAAAGTTATCAATGGCAATGTTTTTGAAATGTGTTTGTGGGGACCGCAGTTTAACGAACCTCGGGCCGCATGCGGCCCGCGTGCCTGAGGTTGGACCACACTGAGTAAAGTATCGTGAATGTTATGTTTAAATCTAATTGTTAGTTAATTTTGTAGCATGTTCCTGATGAAGTTAAAAAATTAAAGAATCCAAGAAATATCGAATTCCAGATATAAATTTAGTTTCAATTTAAGCCGTAGACCCTAGTACCGACACGATCGATAACTACGAAGGATTTTGAATCCAACTATATATATTATATATATATATATATATATATATATATTATATATATATATATATATATATATATATATACAGTGGTGAGTGCTTTATCACCCGGCTTTTTAACGTAAGAGATACAAAACACAGTTACCTTATGAAATAAAAAGAGATGAAACTCGTAGAGGTGGGAAATAATCGATAGAAACCTATAATTTACATTACATTACATTACCACCGTCGATAGTCTCACACCTTTAGACGTTATTATAGTATTAGAAGTGTTTAAAGTCGCTTTAAAACCCGGCAAAATAGCGGAAAGGATAGAAGATGGATTTTGTGAGAAAGAATGAGATAAAGCTAGTTCTTAGACGTGGCTATTTGACTTCAGTCATAATTATACGGATGACCGCGAAGTTATTTTATTTTAATAATTTCTGATGTAAGAATAAATGATTGAATAAATTAAGAATTAAAGTAAAAAACATTAATTAGTAGCGATTTTAAATTATTAATCTTTAAGTTTATTTAATAAAAAAATAACTAAACTGAAATATTTGCCTAAACTAAAGGTAGGTATGTTCGGTCCGAAAATATTAATTGTATGTGGAGTCGGTGTAATTATAAGACACGTGGTCTATTAACAAGAAGATTGGGGTTTAATTCCCACCAAGGATAAAATTTTTGTTTTACTCAATTAAAAAATAATAGAAAATATTATACATACTAGGTAACAAGTTTTCGAAAAACTCATTATTTACAATTTATTCTTATTCCAATGTTATAAAACGGAAATACAAAATAATTCAAATTCAAAAAGATATTTATGTGTAACTTTAAATACTTCTTGTACTAGTAACGACTGACATAAATGTTTAGTGATTCAAATCAAAACGATCTCTGCATAATTTCAAATTATTAAAAAAAAAAAAGAAAACCACATATGGGTTTTGAACTCTAATCGTCTGCATCGCAGTGTCGAATTCTTACCACTAATCCACAAAGGACTGACTGATGTTTATTTCCGTGACAAGAGTGTATGAAACTTCTCAAATCATAGAAATTATTTTTGGTTAATAATTTATAACTTTAGATTAAATAATCACTATTAATTAAGTTATTTTATTCACATTTTTGCTTTATTGTGGTCAATCATTTTTTACTTTATGCGAAATTAAAAAATGTCACTGAAATACGTTACACATACGACGTCACAAATAATAATTATGACCGAGGTGATTTAGCTGGAAGCTAACGTCTAAAGGTGTGAGACTATAGATAGTTTTAATGCAATGTAATGTAAATTATAGGTTTCTATCGATTATTTCCCACCTCTACGTGTTTCATCTCTTTTTATTTCACAAGGTAACTGTGTTTTCTATCTCTTACGTTAAAAAGCCGGGTGATAAAGCACTCACCACTGTATATACACATATATACGTAATCAACAAAACAAAATTTCTTACTTCTAATCTAAATATAGTCTTTTTGTTATTATCCACAGTGGTATAAACTCGGTCCTCATCTTTTTTATACTTGAAGGTCCAGTTACTATTTTTAAATAACTGCCAAGCATCTTTAAACGTTTTGTCTGCCTTTGTCCTATAGCTTTCTTCCTAAAAAATAATTAAAAAAAGAAACATTTAGTTGTCACATACACTTCGTAATATACACTGTAATGATCATAAGGAGCCACCATCTTTCCTTGGTTGTTAAATTAAAACTCAATAAAATTATGTACTACTTAATTAGTCTAACGAAAACTACCAACTAGTAAAACGGTACATTTACTTTTATATTCTAGATAAGGTATTCACGAGTTTGCATATGTTTGAATTATATTATTACAAAAATATCATCATAGTCCACTCATAATACATATATACATACATACAATCATACACAGATATTGTACCAGGATCTTTCCAAACTGGCATCACTCCATAAATATTAATATGATAACTAACTCCACGTGATTATAAATATAAATATATAAATATATATATATATATATATATATATATATATATATATATATATATATATATATATATGTATATATAAAGTGGTGATTCTTGAGGATGCAGTCAGTCTATTTGGCCCACAAGACAAAGAAAACTCTTTGACTTACTGTCAAGCTTTCGAATTTAATTTAATTCTTTTTCAAGACATCTGTTAACAAAGAAATATAAAAATTACTAGTTAAAATTGTTAATTGTCTTACTTACTAGTCGTGAGATTACAGTTAATATTGTACTGTATAAAACAAACCATTACAAATATATTAAAAATATATTTTTTTAAATAACTATATTGTCACTATATATCTCATTGTCATGTTGGTTTGATTAATGGACATATATGAATGAATATACAGTTATTTTACGTGGAAAGCAAAACCAGTAACAATAGTTTTTATTATTATTTATTTAATAGTCGATAAAAAAATTAATTAATTGAGTCAGTTTGGCTTAAGCTCATATGAATTTTTTAATGTTGGGATGTCGATAGAAAATGAGCTTATGATGGTATTTATTGATATGTTAATATATAACAATAAATGTTACTTCATTTGTCACTGATTTTCTATTTATACATTTTCTATTTTTCTGCATATGTGTCATTTTTAAAAATAACCGCATCTGTTCATGTTTCTGCCTCTCTAGAATTGAAGCTTGTGAATTATTTATTTTATTTACTTATTTTTTATTGACAATTAAATAAATAAATAATAAAAACTATTGTTACTGGTTTTGCTTTCCACGTAAAATAACTGTATATTCATGCATATAAGTCCATTAATCAAACCAACATGACAATGACATTATATAGTGACAATATAGTTATAAAAAAAAATTTAATATATTTGTAATGGCTTGAAGGGGAACAAGGGGAACCATTTCCATACTCAGGAACAAAAGAAGACCATCTCCATAACTTGGAACGCCGATCTGACGTACATGGGCTGGATTAAACAAGAAAAACGACAACAAAGCTGTGGAACATCCTATATAATACTTTTCAAAACGGTATCTATACAAATCTTCTAATGTACTCCAAAAAAAAAAAAAAAAAATAGAAATAGTGGTGACTCTTTTCTAAACTGACATATTACTAGAGTCTACTATTACATAGAGTCTACTATTTTCAACCAATTTTTGCCGGTCTCTTTACCGACAAATCAAAACGTCTGCCCTGCTTGGAAGCTAAATGTCGATTCCGTTTCAAATCTGTTCTTCCACTTACATTGTAACACGTCTGCCCTGCTTGGAACTTAAATGTCGACTCCCTTTCAAATTCAAATCTTTGACTCAATTGTCACATGTCTGCCCCGTTTCAAATCAAATCTTGGACTCTACATGGTAGCACGTCTGCCCTGCATGGAACTTAAATCTCGACCTTTTTATCCGCGTTACATTTTACAAATTCCTAGCCAAATCATTTCCCTTCCGTCTTACAGCTAGCCTGTCGTCCACAAACTTAAAACAAACAATCTTACCCTTGTTATTCGTTCCTAACGATGAAAGACAAATAAAACCTCTTTTTTTATCATAAATTATAATCCCTTTATATACAAAAAAACTAGTCGAAATAGATATAACATAATACAAATTAACAAAATAGCACGTATTTTAAACCGGAGTTCTACCTGACTTTGTAACAAAAGGTTCGATATTTGAATCTAAACACAGACAAAAACATCTATATTTACTTTTGAATCGGTAGAAGTATACGCATTATTGATTATTCTAACCGGAATATTAGGGGAACTTCATGTAACATAATGGCGACAAAAACTTGTTGTTTTACCAAACATTGCAACAGAGAGATAAAAACATATTTCCAGCGTTAATACGCATTTAAAAATTTCGTCAAAAAAACTTGAAATATTATTTCGATTGTTTTCTTGGTAAAAACAACAGGAGCGTACTACAGAAATCTTTTACATGCACATTAATATATACACTTATTCGTTTACCTGAAAAATGTTCTTTTAAGCGGAATTATTTCATTAAAACGCATTCCTATAAACAGATAAATTGATTAAGAAGTAAATGGAAATGTTTCGGGATATCTATTCCTATTTCTATTCCTTAAACCAGGATATTCCAAAACCGTAATAAATTTAAAAATAATCCGTGTCAGATGGAGTAGATATTCTGCAAAGTGTAGAGATAATCAACCTCCAGATTGTGGCTATGACCACGAAAGAAAAAACATAAAACACGTTTCTTTACAATCCCCTCTCCAAGAATATCCAGGATCATGGAGTGGCTTCCTTAACGCTACACCTGAATCAATAAACTGGATACGTAGTCCCGACATCAACGTTTAATAAATATATTTTAATGTTATGTATTTCTATTTTTGTTATTATGTCAAGATTGTAATTTATAATATTTCGCCGAGATGCCGAGACTATCTATGAAAACTAGTTATAAAATAAACATAAACCTGGCAGGACTATATATAAGAAACTTACTAAAAGTACCTTCGTACAAAGTAAAGATCAACGTACAGAATGAAAAATAAAGGGATGCTTAAGATACCTCTAAGGACGGGATTAAACACTCACGAAGGAAGGGGAGACCAAGTAAGAGCCCATCACGAGTAGTGTTGCCCAAAATCGCTCTTGGACTTGCAGTCTTGGTCTTGTTCTTGCGTTTTTACAAGACCGAGACCAAGACCAAGACTGCCTAATTTTTGCAAGACCAAGACTAACCTTGCAACACTTGAGCAAGAATAAGACTAAGCCTGCGAGACTCTTGCGTCTTGCAGTTAGGACTGAGTGTGGTTTTAAAGAGTACAATAGTTCGGGTTTATGCTTAGAGACTCTATGAGACGCAAAAAAATGTGTAATAAAAATTTGAAAAGCTGGACTTATACGCATTACGAACAAAACCATAAACATACATTACCGAATCAAAATATTCATTAAAAAAAACACACACAAAGACATAAGACGCAAAGAAGTATTACCAAAAATTTGAAAAATTTGACTTGTGCATTACGACAAATACCATAAACATACATAGCGAATCAAAATATTCATTACAAGAACACTTAAAAATTCGACACGTACTCAGAGGTCATAATTACAATCTAAAAATGAAATATTTTTATTTTGTACATTCTTTCTCAGCACACTACTCCACTTTGAAATTAATTGTCGAGATTTTGATAATAGCCCCTTCTAATAATAAATGCTTTGTGACGCCGACAATAATATTGTATCGAAACTTTTTAAAAATGTATCACTTTGGTGATAAAAAATATAATTAGGTTAGCATATTTTTTTTTTATAATTTAGTTACGAGGAATTCAAATACCAAAAATCTTATCGGCTAAGACTAAACATCTTTTTTGCTGAGTATGCGATGATACCATTCAAAATTTGCTGAAAGAATGCAGCTAACATTCAAAAGTAACGAGATAAACAAACAAAGAGATAATTCCGATTACAGTTTAAACAAAATACCGATATATTATTATTAAAAGTAACGAAGTAACGATAATAATTCTCGGTTTTTTATTCGGTACAAGATACTTACAAGATCTTTTAAATACCTTAGCATTATACAGTAAAACTGACAATGAAACGGACAATTTAACGATTTTAACATCACAGATAGTGAATGGCAAACACTCGAAAAAGTACATAAGTTTCTAATAAACTTTAAACTTTTATCAACAAAACTTGGCGGAGGAAAATATGTTACATTACCACTAGTGATTGTATCATTCAATCTCCTGCTCGATAAAATTGAATCCATCGTAAAACAATTAGATGAGAAACCTAATCGATCTAAAGTGGATAAAAGGCTCATTCTTGGTTTTCAAGCAGCTCGAGACAAAATGCTTAAACATTATAAGAAGAGCAACTGGATTTATTGTATCTCTTTAATTTTAGGCCCAAGGCATAAGGCTCAGACTTTTGACATGACGTTATGGGGGAAGCAAATTAAAACAGAAAGCCTGCGAAAATTTAATAAACTTTACAAAGAATATAAAACTCTACACCCAGTAAATAAATCTCTAGAATCACCAAAAAAATGAAAAGAAAGTATCTGAATATGATGAAGATGAAGACTTAATAGACTTTAAGAAACTGTATGAATGCTGCTCGACTTCATCTGGATCTTGTCATTAAAGCTTAGTTATTGACGAGTTGGAGGAGTACCTAAGTAAACCCAGAGTCGCTAACTCGGAAGACATTTTAGAGTGGTGGAGGACGCATGAGACAGAATATCCGACTTTATCGAAGATGGCCGTGATTTTCTTTTAATACCAGCAACTTCAGTACCTGCTGAGAGATTATTTTCTAAAGCATCGTTAGTAATTAGAAAACATAGAAATAGGTTAAGTGATGAGTCAGCCAGATGGTAACTTTGTATTAATTTTTGGTCAAAGGAATAAATATAAAGTATCAGTAATGTAAAAGTCTATTGTGCACTGTGTTGTATTTTATTTTTTATTTAAATATATGGCAAATTATATAATTATTTTATTCCATTTCATATAAGGTGAGGGTCCATCAATCCCTTTATAGACAAATAATGTTCTTTAAAATACAGTCAAGTTTATGTCATTAATGTGGTTGTTTTGTTTTTTAATCATGTTTGTGCATACGTAAGCTTGTTAAAAGCAAACGCTTATTAATCGCTAGATCGTGGGTTCAAACCCCACCCGGTGTCAGTTGTTTAAAAATTCATTAATTTGGTTGGTCTTTTTATGGCTATGTTAATTCAAGCTTAAAATGTACCTACTGTGTTACGTTGTTCTTAGATCTAAAGTAACGTTTAATAAATAGCAATAGGCTAATGGGCATTTGCGAGACTTGCAAGACTCTTGCTGCAAGACCAAGACCAAGACCAGGTATATTGGTGCAAGACCAAGACCAACACTGTCTAAGTCTCGTCTTGTTCTTGCATTTGGGCAACATTAATCACGAGAAATATGAAAATACTAAAAGGTAAACAGCCAGTGTTAAATGGAGTAGAATAAAAAAATATGAAAAAGAAGTTTTTAATATTATAAATATCAAAAGCTATTTTCTCTTCGCCCAAAATTTTGCAAATTTGTCTGTAAAATATCGTTGGTCATTGTAGATACGTTAGATCTCAGAACAGGCTTTGAATGAAGAGAATCGCAAAAACATTAAGGATCCGAAGCAAAGATTGTCTTGTGCAAATATATTTGCAGAAAACTTACACAATTTACGACCAACTTGATGTACACATTCATTTTACTACTAAATCGTTCAACGCACCTACCGTATAAATTATCAGATCACTCATAGTTAACTTTGAAAACTTTTTATCAACTGTCCTGATGTGTACAGGGCCCTAAGTTATAAATAAATGTTACATGTTTTACAATTATAATGGCCTGTCGTATCAGAAATATGCTAATTCTACTGATTTTAATACTAAACCGAATATAAATGCCGTTTAAGATGGAATTATACGGAAACTTCGAATATAGACGTCCAAGATATGGGTGTGAATATTAATAACAGATACCGGTGGTATAAACAAAGTTTCTTTCTTATAAAATTTAGAGATGCAAAGGACACAGGAGTGGATGATTTTTGTCAATATTATAAACTCTAAGTATATTTATAGAAATGTATTTGTAAAACTAACAGCATAACCTAGAGAATAATCTACACTGGCAAATCAACCAGGTTTAGTTCATACAATGGCGCATTTTCTGCTATATATTTATGCAATCATTCGTTAGCTCCTTTATTATCTCCTGGGATTCATATCGAACACTCATAGAAGAACAAATAACTTTAATTTAAATAATAGCGCACACCAAAATCTTGAATTATATAATAACATAATTATTTCTGCAGCAACAATCGCTGTGGGAAAAACAAAACCGAGTAAAAGGCAGTCAGTTCCTTAGTGGCGTAACGAAATTGCATAAGCACTTACTTGAAGAACAAGAACTAAAAAATGATACCAAATGGAATAAAAACAACTTAAAACAATCTGCTATGAAGACGCCGCAATATTACTCCATCAAAGTGAAGATGATTTACAACGTATACTGCACCAATTTAATATAAGCGCCAGAAAATTTAACATGATAATTTCTACCAAATGCATGGTTACAACAGAAAAATTAACTAAGATGTACAGTTGCGGTCACGGAATAGTTTACAGGTTCACGTATCTAGGAGCCCATTTTTTAAATTTTTACTTCGTTTTAAACGCACCTTTTACGTCAAAGTGACGTTGCCAGTGGTGTACTAGCTAGAATAGGTAGATTAAAATTAAAATATCAAAATATTTTACAAAATGAAAAATATAGAAAACAGTTTTTTGAATAAAATGGATTATGATCTTAATAACGAAAATAAAGAAGTCTTTTTTTTTAATATGCATTTTATTTTAAATCTATTTTATATTAAATAACGATAAACAATGATAAATAATAATTAATATTTGGTGGAACCCCATTCTTGTCAATACAATTTTGCAGTCTTCTGTTCATAGATAGCACCAATCCCCTCATGTTATAGTTAACAAGCTCTTCCCATGCCTGCTCAATTGCTTCCCATAATTCAATTCTATTCCGTGGTCTAAGGTTTCTTTCATTTAGTTTCTTTGTTAACTCTGCCCACACATTTTCGACGGGGTTAAAGTCTGCACTACGGGAAGGCCACGGAAGGACATTAACATCAGTTTCTTCTAGCCATTCTCGAACAATTCTACTCGTATGCACCGGGCAATTGTCATGTTGGAAGATAAAGTCGTTGTTGGGGAATCTCTGGATCACCGATGGCAACATTGTGTGTTCAATAATATGTTTGTAATATAATCCTGTTAACTTCTCCTCTACATAACAAACGCCCGGGCCTTCGGCACTTATCCATCCCCATACGTTGACAGAGAATCCTCCACTATTTCTTAAATGATGCGTATACTGTTCATCATACCTATGATTTCTCGGCCTATAAACTCTTATTCGACCATTATTATACGACTGAAATACTTTTTCATCGGAAAATACAACCCTAGACCAAAAATTCTCATCGCGGTTTATAAATTCATTACAAAATTCAACTCGTCTCCTCTTGTGATCCTCAGTCAAAAAAGGTTTCCGTGCAGCTACACAATTTAGCAGTCCACTTGCTTTAATTCTTCGACGTGCAGTGCGAATACTGCCTGGAAACGCTGCCTCTTCTCTTGCCTTTTGAGCTGTGGCAAAAGGAGATTCTCTCAAATAATCTACTAACATCTCATCCTGTTGATCTGTGGAAATCTTCTGCCCTCCTGAACCACCCAACCGTGCTATAGAGTGAAAATTATCCCATCTTTGTTTAATCTTCCATATGCACATATGACTCACGTTCAAATCAGCAGCAACTTGCCTTAGTGACCAACCTTCTTCGAGTTTGGCAATTGCTCTTGCTTTTTGCGCATAATTCAAATGTATTCTAACCATTTTGGAAGAGTTTAATATACTTTTATTTTATTGTTGAACACTCGCGAAAGCATTGACGTTTTGAAATTTTTTGACTTTGACATTTATCAAATCCGTACGACACTGCAATTTTACAGTATTACAATATAAAAAGTAAGGTGTAAACTATTCCGTGACCGCAACTGTACATAGGAGATGGAAGGTCAGATAATAGCACACGTGATGGAGCTTAAATATCTAGGCATCACATTATCTAGCTAAAGAAAGTTCGAAACAGAAGTGGAAGATGAAGCGAATTGAGCAAACAAGGCCGCAGGTTGCTTGAATGAAACAATATAGAGAAATAAAATATACCTCTTTTAAAAGACAATAAATCAAGATATAGTGTGGAATCATACAGGCCAATCTCAATTACTTGTTCCATGTGCAAACTGTTAGAAAAAATCGTTAACAGTAGATTAATGTGGACATTGGAACAAAAACGATTACTGATTACTGAACAAAATGGATTTAGGCAGAATCGATCAACGGCTGATAACATTCTGGAACTCGAAAGCGATATTATGGAATCGTTTGCAACTAACAGAAAATGTACCGCGATATTTTTTGACTTAAAAAATGCCTTTAATACTGCCAGGAAACACAGGATTCTAAAAACGTTGTATGAGTGGAATATCCGGGGACACTGCTTATCGTTTATCAACAATTCACTCACACCTTAACAAATGGTGTACCACAAGGGTCTGTTCTTAGCCCAACACTGTTCCTCATAGCGATTAATGATATTTTGAAAAACATAGAAAAACCTTTAAAAGCACGGATTTATGCTGACGATTTAGTGGTATTTACAAAAGGAAAAAATATAGATAGTATGACAAAATGTTTACAAAGTTTTTACCTTCTCGACGGAAATAATTAACGTCTTAACAAGACATAAGGTTGTTTCTGCGGAAGGTAACGTGCGAGGTGTAGCACCAACATCAGAGTTGCCACTTTGACGGTGTTACTGCACACCTTGTGGGTTGTGTGCTCGAAACACGTCGAACGTGAGGGACTGGCATGTCTGTGAAATCTAAAGCGTACACGGCAATTAGAATACCCATATTCAATATATGTAAGAAAATAATACGCCGTCAAGTAAGAAAGTATCGAACTGTTAAAGTATTCTAGGTTGTCGGTGGGCTTTTAAAGACTACAGAGCCATCAGTGAACTTTACGTGGAGTGTGGTTCTCGTACATACCATTGCCAGGAGGTAAAGGATGGAATCGAGAAACCTTCGATCCTCCTCTAGAGCGGCGGTCGCAGACCATCCAGATATGGAGAATACCTCCGTGGATGCTACGGCCGTACGACAATCTCAGAATTTGCTATACTCAAGCGACTTCGATGGGCTGGTCATGTAGTGAGAACGGGTGATGACAGTCTGGCGAGAAAAGCTCTAGATGGTAAAATGCAGGGCAAAAGACCAAGAGCCAGGCCACATAAGATATGAAAGAGACAAGTGACAGCGCATGCACCCAATAAAGCAGAACTTATTGAGACGAGCCGTACAGAACCGGGTATATTAAAGGCAGATATTACAGGACGCAAAGCTATTTTGGGCTGTGATGCCATTGGAAGGAAGAAATTAGGTGTTTGTAAATAATGTCATGTAATGTAAATGATTGTCATTTCGACATTTGATTTCAAGGTTTTAATTACTCTTTACTGAAGTATCACCTGATACATTTTTGCTTCCAACAAATAATCTGGAAAATTCATGGCAAGCTTTTTTAATGGCAATAAATTCAAAACTATTTTTGTATTTCTTATCTTCCATTGATTTCTTTGCTATGTATGTAGCTGTGGCGTATTTCTTATTAATAAATAATTATTTTAGAAAATGTTGTAGTTTGAAATAATACGTACCTCGGCGCTTGAAAATTTTACTGGAGCAAAAACATTCAAAGTATCACATTGTTGGAATCGATTCAACGATCCTTCAGGCGTAGCCTGTGGAGAATAAAAATTTCCTATACTTTCAGTATACATCGATGGAAGACCTTGGACGTAACTTCTAATAAGGGGTGTTCTTTCAGTCTCTCCAGCTGCAAGAAATAAATAATTATGAGTAAAATTAGTAAAAAAAGATGATAGAGGTGGTATAGTAGGTACTATAGTAGACTATCATGAAGCTTTATACTACGTTTTCTGTGTTTTTATATTTTACAAATTTATTAAATTAATTTTTCTATAAATTATTGAGAATATTTTTAGTATAAAGGTTCCAAACTACCAATTGGGGTGAACTCCATCCCCAAGGTAAAACACACTTCGGCATAAGGTAGATTTGGCTTGTTAAGGTACTCCCTACTTACAGTTATAATTTCAATAAAATCGATGCGTGTTGATGGAATTTTGAGTTAAAAACTTTGGTACATTGAACTCTCTAAAGTTGTAAGAATCTTCAAAAACCAAACAGAAGAGAAGTTCTCAAAATCACACAGATTTTAGTAAAAATAATCATAAAAGACGGATAGCCCTTAACTGGTCCGGCGTCGTCTGACAGACGATTCCATATTTTTAATTGTATTTTATTGGAAATTGGCACCGACCACTGGCAAGTACTTCTATCTAATCCTTTAACTATTTTAGCTTGACAAGTGGGTGTATTTGCGACAAGTTTCTCTCAGTTCCTAAAAAGTTATCGCAATAATTAGATCGACAGTAGTTCATCAGACGACGCCGGACTATTGGTGTGACTTTTTTGTGTGTCGTGCATTTTTTGAAATTATGGCCGGGCCATCAAAACGAGTGCGTTTTGGCGATGACGATTATGAGACAACTCTTTTAAATTGGTACAATGAGGAATGTGATAATGACAGTGATGTAGACGATACTTCGGAAGACCATAACATTGAATCTAAACACGATGAATTCAGAATAAACCTATGTTTATATAAAAATCGACACAGGTGGTGTAAGTCAGAAGTTATCCCCTCATCTAGAACACGTAAATACAACATTGTCATAAAAGTACCAATTCTAAAAACAAAGGAAAAAATGCTTGGCGAGGCTGCGATACCCTTGTCTGTTTGGAATATGTTGTTTAGTGATAACATTCTACAACATATTGAGCTGAATACAAACACAAAATTACGATCAATGCGTGAGAAATATTCTGCTAGTTCTATCCATCATCTTAGAGAAATGGATGTTATTGAGTTAAGAGCATTTTTGGGACTCCTTGTTTACACTGCCATTTTCAACTCCAGTCACAAAAATATAGACCGTTTCTTTGCAATTGATAGAACTGAAAGAGAAATCTTTAAAGTAGTCATGAGCAAAAAAAAACATTTGCTGTTCTTTTACTTGCTATCCGATTCGACAATCCTGAAGACAGGGAGGAACGCAAAAAAGATGATCCAACTGCAGCTATTTCATCTATTTTCAATACTGTCATAGAAAATTGTCAAAGTGTATACAGACTTGGTCAATCTACCACAATTGATGAAATGCTTGTAAGTTTTCGAGGTAAATGCCGGTTTAAAAACGTACATGCCTAACAAACCGGCTAAATACGGACTCAACATACAGTGTCTTATGGATTCACGTAATGGTTATTTGTATAATGCTTATATCTACAGCGGAAAATACTTTGTAGACTACTAGTGCACTTAGCTGAACCGCTCTTTGGTAGCAAACGAAATATCACACCTGATAATTGGTAATCTTCTATTCAATTAGTGGATATTTTACGAACAAAAAACATGACTTAAGTGGGCACACTGAAAAAAAATATGGCTCAAATACCTCCATCTTTTCTGCCCAACAGAAACAGACCTGAAGGGTCAATAATTTATGGATTTAGGGAAGAATGTACCTTAATTTCTCATGTAGGAAAAGTGGAAAAGGCTACAGTACTTATATCTTCAATGCATAGTAGACGTTATAGTGATCCGTCTACTGAAAATACCAGAAATTATTTATTATAATGAGAATAAAGGTGTAGATTTCCTAGATGAAAAATGCTTCAAAAGCACCTCAAGCCGTCGAACCCGCAGATGGCCTTTAACAATTTTTTTCTGCATATTGGACATTTCTATAGCAAATTCATATATTCTACATCGGTGTAGATAAATAAACAATCCAGTAATAAAAGAAAAAAGTGTTTTTGCTTTGGAGTTGGCTATGCAGTTAGTGCAAAATCACAGGAAAGACGAATGACAATGAAGAACATTCCACGTTAATTACGTCTTACAATTAGCCAGATATTTAGCCCCGTATTTATAGTCGGTACTCAAGATCGTGCTCGAGCACGTGTTTCGCCAAGTCGAACTTACGTCAAAGTCATGCTCAAGTATTTGTTGTGTTCTATAAATGATACTTCGGGTATTCTCGTACAAGGTTGATCTCAAGCAAGAAAAATTAGTACGGTAAAAGTAAATTACGAATAAACATCGAAAAAAAGAAGATTCTGTCAATTTTCTCATAATTGTGACAAAACGCTACTTACTGAAATTTTGTATTTGATATTAATATTTTGTGTTTGAAATTAATATTGGATATTAACTATTTTAAGTTATGTAATATATTATAAAAAATATTTATTCTACAGAATTAATTTCCATATAATTAATTAAGAGGCATAATTTTAGATGTTTAAAATATATGCTTAGATGTATATTTGTTTTTGGATATATTTATATGTGTGTAATGCGTTACAATCATTATAATTATATTGCATGTGTAAGCCGTACGCTAAATAAATTGGTTATGTAAATTTTAGATGAGTGGAAATAGCAGTAAATGTGCACCTTACTCAACAAAGGAAAAAGTTCTCCTAATCCAGCTGGTAACAAAAAACGGTTTGGTAGAGAACAAACAGTGCTTCAGCAATGGAGAAAAATATGGCTTGGGAGTTCATAACAACAAATTATAACTGCTAGCTTGAGGTCAACATCTTGCTGCCTGATTATACCATCAGGCAGCAAGACAAGATTCATAGGATGAAAATGAAGATTTTAGAAGAAGATATGCTGAGGGCAAAAGCCTTAAGAGAAGCAACTGAGAAGGAGAGGCAGAGAGCTATTGAGGAAGCTGAATTAGCTTCATTGAAGTTAATAGACTATAAAAAGGGTAATTATAGATTTTATCATGTTTGACTTGTCACTGGAATTTTTCTATAATTAATTATTTATTTTAAGGCACTAGCAGATCTTTTTCCTTTGTTGGATACTCTGCAGTTTTAGGGAAAATGTACGAATAAGCCACAATATGTTTATTTACTGATGTTTTTCAATCTATATGACCAGAGGCTGTTATCATAGATACAAAATTGTGATTTATTTTCTGAAAATAAATCACAATTTTGTATTTTTGGTAACAATATCTGGTCAAAAGGATTAAAACATCAGTAACTATAACATATAAAACATTGTGGCTTATTCCCAACTGAAGATAGTGTTTGGGAAGTGTGAACTCTGTCTTTCAGTGGCCCTTTCACTTTCGGAGCACTGAATGTCAGAGTAGGGTCTGTTTTAGCAGGTAGGCATTTGACATAGAATCAGCGACGAGAGGATGTTTTAAAGTACCTCGGAAACTATCGCCGGGACTACGAAGAATGAATCCTGCACTAATGTCAGTCTGGCGGCATCTTGGACTGAGATGTCTTTTTAAGATTTCAGACCCGCCCTCTATAAAGACGAAAAAAATATACTTTGTGTTTTAAAATCATGGCTATTTTCTTTCTATTCTCCTTCCTGTTTATTTTTTTTTCTAGTTAGGATTTAATTAAGATTTAAGGTTCTTAATATTTTAATTTCCGCTGGTGAGATATGGTTTTACCTTTTTATTTGTTGTATAGTCTTTTGTTTTTAGACTATGTATGTTTCTTTTTCAGTTTTGTTAAGTATTGATTGCAATACATACATCATAATATTTTTATGTTGTTTACTAAAAATTATTAAAAATTTTTAATAAATTGCTGCTACTTCAATATACATACATATATACATGTATATATATATATATATATATATATATATATATATATATATATAATTACATCATTTTTTTGTAATATTCTAATTGTTTTACAGTTTACTCCTGATGAAGCTATAAAATAAAATAATCTATTTTATAATGTATTTAATTATAACTATATAATTTTTTAAATAAAGAATATTAATATTCTAAATTTGTATTAATTTTTATTTGGTAAGGAAAGGTTTTATGAAAGGAATAAACACTTAATTAAAAGGAGGGAAACTCCTTGTACTCAGTAAAGACATACTTGGTTAAGTTATCTGAGCATAGTGAGGGAAAAACTCTCATTTATTTTAAAATTAAAACAAATAAATACATTTTTATAAATAAGACAAAAACATACTATATCTAATATAATATAGGTATTTAATTCTCAAAATAAACAACTTTGAATTGAACAAAGATTAGATATAAGAAAGATATAAAATAAAATACTGAAATTATAAAAATAAAAAATTGAAAAAAAAAACAAAAAGTGTAATCAAGCTAATGATAACCATTCTGACATTTTGAGAAATAAGGTAGAACATACATAATATAAGTATTCAATATTGTATTTACATTATCATGCATAACATTGGTGAATAAAATGGCTCCTAAAATTTAAACCTCATTCCACATCATTAACGTTTCTACAAAGAATATAGATGCTTTTACTACATTAGTATTTTCTAGAACATCATCATCACTATCATTATTTTCCTGTAAATATATATTGTAAAGTACTGCTGTAGCACTTATTATGCAAGATATGTATTTAATTTGGTTTGTAGGCCTCATTGCAGACAGGGAAACCATATTTTCCAGGTTCCAAATATCCATTTGGCAACATTTCTTACATTATTATATCTATTTTGTTGATCATTGCCTAAAAAGATGTTATCTATCAAATAACATATTTTTTTTTTAGCCAATTATCAATAAATACCTGGCTGTGATACTGGAGTATGTAGATAGTGCCTGCACTGCATACTTATTCACTATTCATAATAATTCTGGAATTTGTCCCCTTTCCATTCTAACTTTTAATCAATTTTGATCAAATAATAAGCTACCAATA